TATATTGAAAATTGACTCTTGATTATAAAAATATTGATTACCAAATCTGCAGAATATATAAAATTTAATGCTCACCACAGAAATAATATGATGTTCTCTGTCATATCTCCAATTAATGCTTTAACAAATAAATCTTCGTAGGAATAGGAAACGTGTAATCCCTTGGCAGAAACTTTTGAAATTAGTTCGGAAGCCTGATTGCAATTTGACAGAAACATTCAAAATTAGTAATACATTATTTCTCAAAATATATTTATCTTTGAGATAAATGATTACCTTAGAGTTGCAAGCTTTGCCCTAAATTCTATATTTTGATCACGTTTTGGTAAACTTAAATAATTTGTTTTATGTCTACTTGAGTAATCGTTGTTCTTGTTTGACGCCTCAAAGCAATTTGTTTTGCGGATGTGTAGGATCATCAGTAAATGCACAGTGTCTGATTACTAATTGACAACTACTTTTTAGAACACATTTTTTATAATATTTATATACTCGTATAGATTTTTAAACTTATGAACAAAACCTTATTTTATCTTCAAAATATTTGTAAAAGTGTTGAAATTGGTAAATGTTCAGCTAGTTAGGTGTTACGAAAATTCTTTTAATTTTATAATAATTACACTAGGGTGTATGGCATCGTGCCTTAAGGCAAATTGCTGAAACTTCCCGTGCCAAAAATTAAATTTTTCAAATAAAATTCAAAATTTGTTTAAAACTGATAAAATTTGATTTTTGAGAATTTTGAAATTAAATGACTTTTTGTATTTTTTTTATCTTTTAGAATAATTTTGAAAATTTTGAATATTTTTTCAAAGCAATCACTCTACTTTTGCGTGGAGACGAAATATCAAAGCGCGTAAGCGCCGCTAACGGATAAACGATGTTACGGAACCCATAGAAATGTAAACATTTATACTTATTTTTGAAATCTCCATAAAATATCTGATAATTAGATGTGGTAACTAATTTACCATTTTTGTCACTTTATGGCTTCATATCTTGGAAATGACTGGACCCGCCTTATTCAAAAAATAATCAGGACGTCTCCTTATCAATAAAATTTAAATGTTTTATAAATCATTCAAATCGATTGTACCGTGTTTCCGAAATCGTCAACGAAAATTTGTATCTGAACACACACACACACATACATCCATTTTTTTTAGCTAAGCCAAAATAGTAATAGTTTTCCCCCTTTAAAACTTTTTTATTTTGAATAATATGATAAAATTTGAATTTTTTAAATTAACAAAATTGGAGCTGTTTCATTAGAACTTGAATTCCTAATACTTGAATATTTTAAGTTCAAAAAATAATCATCTATATCTATAAGCTATTTGTACTCATTCGATTGCTTTGTATTAATTTATTATTATTATTATTTATTTTTACATTATTATTACAATGTGGTTGTTGCCAATTGACACTTTTCTGTTCCTTTCCTTTGTTAATATTATTACATATCAGTAGATACTAATTTGGGACCATACGTAACTAATTACGTAATATTGTACGTAAATTAATATAAACAATATGCATACACAAAATATCTACTTTAAATGTAAATAATAATGCATTTAAACAAACATGGAAAATTAATTTTCAATTTTTGATCTTTAATAAGATGTTAAGTCAATTCATAGAGTACAAAAAAAAAACACCAAGAACTTGGTCTAGTGATACATCTATTTACAGTGATAATAGCACAAAAATGAAAAAAGTTAAAATGGATTTTATCTTCTTATTAGTAGACTTAAAATAAATCAGGCATCTTTTCCAATTCTTTTGCGAAATAGATCGAGCAAATTCTTTGCTAGTAATTGGGATACTCAGTCACCCTGTTTTCAATATCAAAATTTTCTATTTGTTTTTTATTTGCTCAAAATATACTTTCATAATTTGAACAATAAAGAAGGGATGGGCACAAAGATCAATTTGACTTTGATAGTTATTTTTGTTCAATTTATTATAAACAAACTTATTGTTTCTTGAAATGCAATCATTTTAGACCGCTAAATTTCATTTTTTTTACATTTTTCTCTGTATTTCGAAAACCGCTGGACCTGCCTTCCCAAAAATTTATTCAATTTGGGCGCTCCGTTATCTCAGTAACTGAAATACCATATTTGGCACTTTTTGTCCCGGCTTTGAAACGGTTGGACCTGCCTTTACCAAAAACTAATCAGCACATCTTTCCATCAATAGAAATCGTATTTTTTTAATCAAATAAATCGATTGAATGCACCCGAAATCGTGGACGAAAAATTGTAGCAAGATCCAAACGTACGTACACACGCATATACATTCATTTCTCCTAAGATATGCCAAAATGTTCAAAAATGTTTGAAACGTAAAGATATGCAAAAAAATTTATTTTTGATTTCTTTGCGATTACTATAACTTATCCTACGGTAAGTTAATAAATTGCAACTTCTGCTTGAAATACTTATTTCATGGGCACATTCTTTATGAAAATTGCACTGCATACAACTTTTGTATGAAACATTGTTAGAAGAATCCATCTTCAGAGTTCACACATGATTCTTCCTCTACTAGTATTGTTAAAAAAGCCGCAGTTTTATAGTTTTTGAAATAATGGTGGTGGATCTTTTTACCCGCGAACCTTAGTTTTATTTTTTTAAACCTTTGATATTCTGATCTTAAATAGTTAACATATCTCAAAATTTTGTGAGTCAAATTTTTGTGATAACGTTTTCTAGTTCTTCTATTTTCATCATATTTATTTAACTCTTTTTTAATTTGAACTATATTTATTCTGTAAGAATTTTTGATAAATTATGATATAAACATTGTTAATTATTTGTTAAAATGCCGTCTTTCTTTCTTTTCTTTTAAGAAAAAGACAAGGGCTATATATAAAGTTACATAGAGATATTTAAAACTTTTTTCATTGATAATTGCAGCTTTCCAGGCCAATGTAATTATTATTTTTAAGTCGTTGGTTTAATGCGCATAAGCTAAAATTCTACTAAAAAGTTCTCTGTATATCTTGGACGTCATTTTATAAACATTGCAAAATGCCAGATGTCATATAATATACATTTGCCAAGAACATAAACATTTTCAGTTTCAACAGGTTAGATTCTACGTCATTACACATATCAAGAAGGAATTTCTTTTAAATATATAAACATACATTATAGGTATTGCATTACACATAATATTTTCATGTCTTTGAGAATCCAAGATAAAACTTGATGCAAAATGTCCACTGTGGGCTTTTTTGCGGATTTAAATGTGGACTGTGATTATAACAATCAATTTAGTTATTTTTATTTTCTTATTTTATAAAACATTTTTGGAGAAAGTGAACAATCTTATTAATGTTTGTTTAATTCAACATTTCAATGTCATAAGTCATTTTTCTCTTCCACATATATAAAAAATATGACACCAGATAAATTGCTTATTTATAAATAATAATAATTGTTTATCATTAATAAATTCCCATGGCGCTGAAAATTCAAATCTCTTGTTATTTTTTGTTCTAACAAATATGCTCGAAATGTTTGTCGTTTATTAGTACAGATTATTTATATAAATAAACACACAATCATAAAAATTATAATCCGAAAAGCAAACTTTGAGTATTTAGCTTTCCATACCTTGTGATTCATACAAATTAAGAAAATGTCACAGAAATATGTATTTAATTTTTGTCTAATTTGTGAAGTAACGAAAACAGTCAATTTTAATAATCTTTAATGTAATTTTTTGGATTAGTTGAGATCATGAATAAAGTGACCTAAGCCCCCTTTTTTTCAATAAATATTTAAGTTGAACTTAAATATTTATTTTAAAAAGAAGTTTTTTTTCGGTTTAGAAAAGGTTTAGAAAAATAAATCATAAACTAGTGGTGTATGGCATTGTGCTTGAGACAAATTGCTGGAACTTATCGTACCTAATTAAAATTTAAAAAATCCAAATTATTTTCAATATTCAAAATATTCTTTTTTTGAAATTAAAAAGAAAAATTTTAAATATTTTTTTCAAAAACAATAGTTTTGTCAACACAAGCAGAAAGTTCTTCAAAAAAACTAATCACTGCCTTCAAAAAAACTAATCACTAGTTCTCCCCTTTATTACAAATTGAATTTTTTTAGATCATTCAAATCGGATGTTCCGTTTTCTCAAAAACTGGATTTCTATTTGCTCAAAAACTCGAATGTTAAAAACATTAATGTAATTTTAAAATAACAGATACTATTTGAGAATGCAATAAAAATCCGTCTTTTTGAAATGAGTAAATTTTTAAAATGAGGATTACTTTATTATTTGATTATATGTTATATTTTATCTTATATTTTTGGGTCTATATATTTTGTCAGCTTTCAAACCTATTATAAAACTTCGTTAAATTTTCTTCATAATTATTTGAAAATAATTAGCACTTATTTCAAGCAGTCAAGAAGTTTCATATTTTTTGTTAATTTTTGTAAAATTGAAAGTAAAACTTCAAAATTGTGAATGTGAGAAGCTATTTTAACCCCTCTTTTTTCATATAAGCATAATAGTTGTACATAACATTGTCTGATATTTGATGGGTAGTAATTTTATTGTCAATTAAGAACAAAGATTTCATTTAGACCTATACTTTTCGAAAACCCGGGACAATCTGGGACAAAAGACCTAAATCCGGGATAAATATTGCTTTTAGAAAAACTCGGGACACAAGGTGGAAATCCGGGACTGTCCCGGCCAAACCGGGGCGTATGGTCATCTTAGTAAAACGCCTGATCGCACAGCAAATACATAGCATTTTGAAAGTTTTTGGTACTATTTTATATGAAAATTGCTACGTAACATAGCCATAACATTGGTCTATGTTACGGCAGAATATGCCTTTTAGTATCATTATTTGAAAAAATAATTTAAAACATTTTATGTACGGGGGTAACATATCAGAAAGATACAATTTCTATTTTTGTTAAATTATAAATCGTCAAATATATTATAATAATCTTTTTTTTATTTTTCAGTTTCTGTGGCGCCGACGATCAGTCCATGTTTGACGGAGTCCTGCATTCACAAAGCCAGCGAGATTCTTTATAACCTGGACACCAGCGTAGATCCTTGCGACGATTTCTACGCTTATGCCTGGTAAGCTAAACATATACTTAACTCAATCACTAGATTATAATCTGCTTATAACTAATTATTAGAATAAACTCTATAAGAGATATTTATATGGTGCCTAACAAAATATTTGCTAAACTGGAAGTAAGAGTAAGTAAGAGTAGGACTCCTACTCTTACTTACTCTTACTAGGAGGTTTGGATTGTTATATAGACATTTATCATCTTGTTCAATCTAAAGTGATGTCTATTATTTTTTTCGAATAATATTGAGTTAAGAACTCACACAACAAGTTCAAAGTAGTATTTTTTGGTGCTTTGCTATATAGGGAAATCAATCAGCAATATTTGGCTAGTACCAGAATGAATACTAAATGCTGATGCAATCTCCATAAAAAGCCTTCTGAACATTAGTTGATGCAAGCCGAAGAATAACAATTAGTGATTAAATTTATTACATGATTATTAACTTCCAGTTACCCTACTGGAGTAGTAATCGCAAAAAAATCGAAAATGAAAATGTTTATATATCTTTACGTTTCACAGGTTTCTGAACATTTTGGAATACATTAGCAAGTATGGATGTATGTGTGTGTGTGTGTGTGTGTGTGTGGTGTGTGTGTGTTCGGATACAAATTTTCGACGATTTCGGGAACACGGATCAACCATTTACAATGATTCAATACATACATTTTGACAACTTGTTCATTATTTTACAATTAATCAATTTCTGGAATAAGTGCGGTGTTGCAACTAACCCAATATTTGGGGTTAGTTATGTAACATATGTCAGGGCAAGTAATAAACGACAATAATACCTCTGATAACTTATTCTTTGACTTGTTTCTAAGTAATTTCTTTCATTCACAAACTATAATTAATACAAATAAAATATATAAAGTTTCCTATAATATAAAATTCTATCATAAATCGCCGTAAAATATAATTAATATCATAATACAAATGAATGATATATTGACTACTGTAACCCAATTTACATACGCTCACATTTTGCAAACTATAAATTCTACCCAATCTTCTTCACTTGAATTTGTATATAATTCTTGTATCTTACAACTAGTCCCAACCAAGGTTTTGTTTCAACTAACCCCAGATGTGATTTGTTCACATTAATCAAGATAACAATTTAAACAATTTAGCAATCGCAAATTTTGTTACACATCATCAAAGATTGATAAATTTAAAACGAAACTAGTGGTGTATGGCATCGTGCCTTAAGGCAAATTGCTGGAACTTTCCGTAGCTTAATGAAATATCCGAGGATTATTAAATGTTTTCGAATAAATTATTATAAATACTGTAAATTATATATGTTTACAGAAAAGTAGATAAACAAAACTTAATCAATCGAATTTGAAATGAAGGACATTGTCTAATATTTATAAGAAATATAAACTGAATTGCAAAATTAAAATTATTTATTTGAAGTATATAAGTGAGCTTTAGATTCAGAATTAAAATCCAACTTATTTTCGATATTCAAACAATTTTTTTTGGGAATTAAAAAAAAAGTTTAATTTTTTATGAAAAGTAATCGTTTCTTCAATATAAGCAGAAAGTTTTTTGAATTATTCAAATCGGATGCTTATTTCTCTCAAAATCTGCAATTTTTTGCACATTTAGCTTCGTATTTCCGACACGCCTGGACCTACCAGAATCTAATCACTACTTCTCCTCATTATTACGAATTCAATCTTTTTTGAATTATTCAAGTCGAATGCTGCGTTATCTCAAAAACTCGATTTCTATTTTCTGCACTTTTTGCTCCGTATCTCCGAAACGGCTGGACCTGCCTTTGTCAAAAACTAACCAGCACATCTCCCTATCAATAGAATAGAATCCAAATTGGTTAAACCGTGCGCCTGAAAACGTGAACGTAAAAACATACACACGCGCAACCATTTTTTCTAATTTTAAGATATGCCAAAATGTTCAAAAACCTTCAAAACGTGAAGAAATGCAAAACTTTTCAATTTCGATTTTTGGACGAATACAATAACTTAAAATTAGTAGATAATAAAAATGCAAACCGAAATTTTATGATAGTACAATTTTATAAGTGTCAAAAATGACGGACCTATTATGCAGGACAATTCCCATCTCCAATCGAATCAAAAAAATAGTTTATTATGGTTTAAGATCCTATTGAAAAACGTCTATTACCAGTTACCCCTGTTACAGATAGCCCTTAGCTCTCCTATATATATTTTTATGTCTAAGACATTCGGTTCGAATCACAGTCTATTTACGACACACATTCGTCTGGGATTGAATACAGCGATTCTATTAATATCATTAATATATAAATTTTTAGCATTGCTACATATTGTTTTTTTAGTATACATACCAAACAAGATACTGAATATTTCATTCTAAATCTTAGATAATTTACAATAGTCGCAGTTTAAGTGGAAATTTTGTTCAGTTTTCATTTATAATATATTGCCCAGAATATCTACGAGGTATCTTGTTTGAATTAGATTAAATTATAACTGATAATACTTGACAAACACCTTTTAAATCAAATTTGCATTGCGTTACGCGTATGTAAAGAGTTTTCACTAGGAAAATTATTTTTGATGAAGAATCGATTTTTCTTATCTCTTTGTGTTTCATGTTTCGAATGCTTGCACCATTTTTTTTATTTCTTAAAAGTAAACACTTTTAGTATTTTGGTCCTCAAATAAACTAATCTAAATTTTAGTATTTTGGCTAAATTTTTTAGGACATTTTTATGTGTATACAAATTATATGATTATTTTAATATATTGGTGCCATATATTTATTTTTTTTTATAATATTAATTACATCTCTAGTAGATACGCTGGGGATATCTACTAATTTGTAATCTACTATTTTACCTTGCTAGCATTATATGCTAAATGTAATAATTTATACCGATTGCAGAATAAAATTGAATTAAAAAAATTAAAAAAAATAAAAATATATTGGTACCGTAATGGATAATAATTTTTATAACCAAAACTTAGTTAAAAAATATTATGATCAATCAGGAAATGTATTAATACGAAAAGTTTTTTGATACCAAAATATAATTTTATTTATTCCTTTTTGTAAGATGTATTGTTATTTTTAAGTTTGATTTAACAGTTTTTTTATGTAACCTCTATAAAAGCTTACATGTGGGTGCGGTAAAATTGACCAACTAAACATTTATATTGCCCAAGGTATAAACAATAGGAAATACTGAATAAAAAAGTAAATCAAGTTAAAAAAAGCAATTTAATGAGAGATAACTTAAATTATTAATTATTCGACCTTCTTTGAAATACCTGTAAAAAATATTCCTATAAATTCGTATTTCACATTTGTTAAATAAATGTAGCTATTATTTTGCAAAATTTCTTTAAAATTAAAAATAGACGTTGCATCCGTTTGCCCCCTGGCTGTCTCTTCTCACTCCGCTCATGGGGAAAAAAGAGTCAAATGACAAATTAAAAAAAAATGTAAAAATCATATTTCACATTCACATTCCATCTAGAATTCACTTCATTATAGACATCTTGATGGATTCTAGCAGATTCACTACTTTAGTACAAACTATTTTCAGAAAACTCACGATTTTATAAAAACTTTTTTTTTCCAATTTTTTTAAAAATCAAAATTATTTTCATTATATCTCAAAAATAATAAAAGATACGTATAAAAGCATATAGATAAAAATCAAAGGGATCTTTCTGGCTTATTATTGTTTTTTTTTTTTTTTTCACACAAAAATTGACAGAGTTATGAATGTTTAAAGACTGCGCGGCCGCGCAAATTGGAAAAAAAAGTTTTTATAAAATCGTGAGTTTTCTGAAAATAGTTTGTACTAAAGTAGTGAATCTGCTAGAATCCATCAAGATGTTTATAATGAAGTGAATTCTAGATGGAATGTGAATTGCTTTAATTCTGGTGGAAATGGCGCTCATTAAACCATATGATTTAAAAGAAAAAAACTTCGTATATGCTTCTTATTTGCATGATAGCTCACTCATTTTACACGCAAAACACAGCACTCATTTTAAAGCTTATGTTGAGCACTACAAAACCCAATTTCACCGAAATGCATAAAATGTAAAACCTCGACACTAGATGGCTTTAAATACAAAAATTAAATCTTGAACAAAATAAAAAACGGCTTCGCTCTTTCAAATCTTGCTTAATATTTTTCCTAGAACACTTTATGTAATACCGATTTATTAAGATTTTTATTGACATTATTTTGTTCATTACATGATTTTCGTTAAAATGTATATTTTAGGAGATATTTGCAAAAAAAAACAAAGAAAAACGCCAAAAATATATGAATCTTTAGTGGCCAGTAACTTGAAAAGTATTAGTATTTTTGAAAAACTATAGAAGACATTTTTTTCTTATAATTAGTTCTTCTATCGATTTCCGACGTTATTTTGAATGTAATTACACAATTGAGAAGGGGTGTCATTCCCCCGAGGGGCGATGGCGCAACCCGAATTGTTTTCACTTTTGAACTTGAGGGTAAGATGAACCTAATTCCAAAATTTTATTCAATTCGGAGCACAGTAAAAAAATTCAGTGGTTATACCCTTCTTTCCTCTCCGCTTACTGCACTAGGTTTGATGGTTGTTTGTTTGATACATGTTATGTGTTGCCTTGTAGTTCATTTAGTTTAGACTGAAATAGTAAAAATTATTACTGAAAGTCAATTGGACCCTTTGTTGGTTAAATTTTGAAAGGAGGAGCTCTCAGGGCTGAACCACGGGCATTAGTGGACCGGCTTTCCAAAGTTAGTGGGAGTCGGCCATACATTTGAACGCGATTGGGACTCTCTAAATGGGACAAAATGAAATTTGTAAAACTTTAACCCTTATTTTTGGGTCATTTCACGGGACATCAGAATTGTTTTCAGAGGTATTTTCAGCAAAGAGGTTTCTTCAGCAAAGCAGCATCTTATTTTGATCCCTAGTATCCAAAAATCATATGTGCCTATGCGACTTTTTTAACCCATACAAATCGACCCGATTATATACATACATGTATATAATCGATTATATACATACATGTATATTTATTTAACTATCATCAGCTGATCTATGATGCTAATTAATATGATGTATAAAATATTATATTTGATTTTCTTAACATGTTGAATCTTCGTTACAAAGTCGTTATCGCTCACGTTCGTCTAATCGACGCGTGCGAACATATGATTAAAAATGATTTTTACAGGTCAAATAGTTCAACTAATTTTTACTATTACGTGCATCGACGTGCAATTATTTAGGTATCTTAAATTTGATACGAACTTCCTTCTTAATACTTTACATAATTAAAATATATAATAAATAGTTTATTTCTAGTTTATTTTGGCACTGTAATAAAACATTTTCTGTGATTTGACCGAGTTTGTAGCAATTTATTGTACAGTTGAACTGTGACATATATTCAACAGAATCACTTTAGCCAATTGAATTGGTGCTAAAGAATAGATTCATCTATAAAACGAATGAATAACATAAATTATTAGCCTGGAAATAATATTTCTACTTGGTGCTATTCGAACATACTTATATAGGGTAGAGTGGGGTTTGATGGTCCGCGGATAAAAAGGTCGGCCATCGATATCTCGAAAACAAGTAAACTTAAGAATTTTTCAACAACAATATTTGAAAGGAGAGATAAAAAGATGTACTATAACCAGCGATCACCTTGATTCGTACGTCGTTGCTATCGGGAGGAAACGATAATATTATTTTGCCCTGTTAGTTTTTTTGTGAGCAGTAGATTCAACAGTTTTTTATATAACCTCTATAAAAGCTAACACGTGGTGGGGTTAAAATGACCATCTGAGCTTTTACCCTAGCAAAGATGTAAACAATAAAAAATACTAAATAAAAATGTAAATTCAGTTAAAAAAAGCAATTTTACAAAAAATGAATTAAATTAATAGTTATTCCATCTTTGCTAATATACAATGTTAATGCTATAAAAAATGTACCCATGAAGTTTATATGTTGCATTGCTTGAATAATGTAGCTATATTTTCGTAAAATCTCTTTAAAATGATTAAAGATATTATGAAATTTGCTTCCTGGCCGTCTCATTTTACCCCGCCTATGGGGTAAAAAGGAGCAGGTTACAAATTTTTGAAAAACAGCAATGAACCACATTTCTACAATGATGAATTAGCTTTTTCAGGACATAGTCAGATAGTTGCTTGTTTGATATATGTTATTTGTTGTGATATACGAATTTAGTTTTTACAATATAAATGCCCAAACGCCCAAAGTCAAATTAGACCTCTGTGCTCTGGCTTACCCTATTGCAAAATTAGTTTAATTTATTCACTAATTTGTTATTATTGAAAATAAATGTAAATTTTGATATCGTTTTTTTTAATATGAATATTAAGTACGCATTACATTTTGCTTTCTTAATGTACATTTTCAATATGCAAAATAGCAGCTAAAACACAATCTTTCACATTTTAGATTAGTTTAGCAGTACGTATTAATATAATTTCACTTTTTTGGCATGATACTTTTACATTTTAATAAAAGCGCCCATAAATTCATTTTTTTTAATCATATGGCTTTAGATACTAAATGATGAAAACTGAATCAATAATGTATATATCCAAAAAATATATTTGATTCTCGGATTGCTTATTTGTTCTGCATGACGTAGTTTATTTACTTTTTCTATCTATATACATCTATATGTGACAAAGTATTCATTTCATTCAAATCAGATATATTTGCGGAGCAAGAAATATTATCATAAAAATGCGTTAGGGATCATCCATAAATTTACGATCCTATAACGAGTGGAGATATATCCAAATAAAACTCACCGATTTATTAGAATAAGGCAATTATTTCATAAGGCAATCAACGATTTATCATCAATAATAATTTGATTATTATATCCACGATCAATACTTTTTCTTCCTTTTTCTGATAATAAAAGAATTAAATTGCTACTTCTAAAATATCTGCAGAAACTCGTTTGTAAAGGAAATCAGCGCACATTGTTGATTATCAACCTCTCTTACTTACAACCACTTTTAGATCTCTATTATTAGTTCAAATTTTTCACAATATTAATTTGAATTATAATTTTAGCAATGGCTGGATTAAGAATAATCCAGTTCCTGATGGAAAATCAATGTGGGGAACTTTCGCCAAGCTGGAGCAACAAAATCACTTAGTAGTTAAAAATGTTTTAGGTAATTATTATGATGTAATGAATATGAACTAGAATTACAAGAAAATAATTACAAGTATTAATTCATATAAATAAAATTTCAAAAAGTTATAATTTTACATCTGCAAAATGTTCAGATGATATTTTACTTGATGTTTGATCATCAGAACAAATGGTCCTATCAAATTGGTTCAAAAATATAAAGTTTGTTGTAATTTTGTTTTTATCATTGCTTGGGGTTGTATGATACAGAAATTTAAATGCAATATTAATTTAAGTTTATTCAAAGTTTTGGTTAAATTATGACGGTTGTTCTAACTCATAGGACGCGATTAAGGTGACCATAGCTTTTATTTCAAATTCGGGATGAAATCTTCTTGTGGGAAGGTAGTTAATATATTTATTTGAAAAATAAAATTTATAATGAACATTATGCTGGGCAAAACTATTGAAAAATATATTATAAATTCATTTTTTAAATGAATCAATTTGGTTAATTACAATTGGTACAATTACAAAGAGTACTTTTTTAGTTTCTAAACTATGGTCTTTTTCGCTTTTAAGCTTGACTAAAATTTAGTACAATTAACTTTTGTAAGTAATATCAATATTAATGTGTCTGTTTGAAGTCGCTTATTTTTATATGCACTTTTTTTGTTCCAATTTTGTAAAAATAATTTTAGTTGAAATATATTTAACACAAATTTTAAAAATGAGAATTTTTTAAAAATTTGAGACAATTCAGGGCAAAAAACTTCCGAGTCAAATATTTTTTTCAAAAAAATGCAGGACCCGGGTGAAAATCCAATCAGCAACGTACCTTAATAAATGTACAAATGTTATAAAACATTTAAACATATAAAAACATAGGACTTTCCTGGAAGAATTATTAGACAAAACGGTCTATATTAGATCAGATTTTCCAACTCAGTTATAAATAAAACTAAATTTTAACTATAGTTTAAAATCGAGCATTAGTATAATTTTACTTTACTTCAATATATTATTAAGTCGAAAGAATGTCAACTAATAGTAGGTAGTCTAAACAATTTCAACACTTATCATTATTATAATTATTATAATTGCTACTGGTTGTGAAAATATCTTTTGGGCACATAATTTATCGCCTGAAGTCGAGTAAAATTAAATATCAGATTAACATATATAATAATGCCTAATAAAATTTGTTTTTTATATACAGAAAAACCAATGGATGAAATGAAATCCAAAGCAGAAATGAAAGCAAAAATGTATTATATATCGTGTATGGATGAAGACGAAACTATAGAATCATTAGGCGCCAAACCAATGTTGCAATTGTTGAATAAAATTGGCGGTTGGAATGTTACTAATAGTGGATTTAATGTATCAACATGGAATTTGCAGAAAACACTTCATACACTCCATTTAAGGTAAATAGCTTGTATTGTAATTAATGTTATTGAAAATTGTGACACCTCTTAATGTTCATGACGTAGAGAATATTTTTCTCTTTTTCAGATATAACATGGGTGGCTTATTTAACTGGGCAGTCACCGAAGATGACAGAAATTCTAGTAGGCATTGCATTAAGGTAAGCTTTTATTATAAATAAAAAAAACTTCAAGACAAATATATTTCTTTTCAGATCGATCAAGGTGGTCTTACTCTGCCTACTCGTGAGAGCTATTTAAATAAAACAGCACACGAGAAAATTTTGTCAGCATACCTGGATTACATGGTTAAAATTTCAGTCCTTCTGGGAGCAGAAGAGAAAGATGCTCGCCATCAAATGGCAGAGGTTATAGAATTTGAAACTCGATTAGCTAATATAACAGGTATAAAATAATTATTAGAAAATAAATACAATAATTTATTTTGGTATCTCTTGAGCGTAGAAGATAATTGGACGAATAAGCGAGAATTGTACAAGTGTAATTGTTACATAAAATCACATTAAAAATTATACACCTTTAGAAGGTTTGGAAGGCTCGATCTTGCAACCACAAGGTTCTGAGTTCAAGCCCTGCGTTGCGTGCAAATAGTTGTTGTAACGTTATCTATTTTTACTTATGATATCCATTTAATGGTGATATCCATTTTTACCAATCCTGGCAAGCATTATTGCATAAAAATTTAAAATATAATCAATGTGAGGAAGGTGCGACCATTGAGTTGCCTTCTAATGAAAATATATCACTAGTAAAAAACAATTAAGTTGCCCTCTAATTGCTATTGGTGAAAATAATCATCACAACCTCTTAAAAAATCATATTACCCGATTTGTTCAATTTGCTGAACTAGATGTATGTGATATATATTTTTATCTTATTTTCTCTATTATAGTTGCTATGGAAGATAGACGTGATGAAGAAAAATTATACCATAGTATGCCATTAACTGATTTGCAAGAAAAAGCTCCATTTATCAACTGGCGTGAGTATTTCCAAGAAGCTTTGAGAATAGTGAGTAAAAAAATTTCAGAAAAGGAAAGAGTTGTTGTATACGCCCCAGAATATTTAGCCGATTTAACCACTCTAATTCATGAATATAGCGAAACAGATGAGAAAAAAATGTGAGTTATTAAAATTTATTATATTTATTATATTATATATCATTTTGTTTAAAATTCTAATTTTAGAGTATTGAATAACTATTTGGTTTGGCAAACTGTGCGGCTTATGGCTTCTTACCTGTCGAAAGCTTTTCGAGATGCATATAAGGGTCTAAGGAAAGCTCAAATTGGGTCTGAAGGCGGAGAAGAGCCTTGGCGTTATTGTGTAACAGATACAAATAATGTTATAGGTAATAATTTTTATCAAACAAAATCTAGTTTAAATATATATTAGATGTTCATAGAGGCGTTCGTATTGATATCAAGCAGTAGTAATGTCCGTTTTTACTTCAAAATATTGATTCCAATATGTTAAAGTCCAAGTGAAATAGCAATTAGGGGCATTGCTGCAATATTAGATCACATTTTAAAAGTATATGAAAATTCCAAAGACAGGAGACAACCATTGGGTTGCCTTTGGGTTGCCTTTGGTTTGCCTACTTGGTAGTAGGAAACACATCACTACTGCGTAAGCATATATAATAAAGAATAATCACGATTTATATAGTGTCAAACGCAATTTAAATATTAAATCAATACCAGAACAGACTGACTATATAGTTGTGGTATATTTTAGAATATAAAATATTTCTGTTTTAAATTTTTTGCTATTCACAAGATTAAGATTAGGTTTTGTAAGAGAAATCCAAAAGGAGTTTTATATCAGAAGAAATATATATTAGTCACTTTATCATAATTGATCAAAATGATTTAGTTAAAACAAACAGTAATATGAAAGTACGGTTTATAGTAGGGTAGAGCGGGGCTAGTTGAGCATAGGGGCATGTTGAGCAATCAAAATATCTCGAAAACTATTCATCGTCCGTTTAGTCATTATATGGCGGAAAGATAGAGGTTTGGGAGAAATAAACATCCCGCGATCGCTAGTGGCCGCTGGACAAATGAGTGAGGCTCACGGGCGTTTTGTTCATTTTGAGACCAAAAAGTAAAAAAGTAATTCATCACGAGTTTTCGTCTGGTTTAGTCAAATGTTATTTTTTTTTAATCAGGCAAATGTTATTCTTCCATATAATTATAGTACTTTTAATATGCACAAAGATTCTGGGTATAATTCTCACGGTTTTTTTATAAACTCACTTTTATTTTGAAATTCCGAGTTGGGGTTAGTTGAGCATAGTTGTTAAATTTGTTCTGTCACTAAGACAATTACCATTAACTTGCAGAAATTAATTATTATTTTAAGATTTAAGCTAAGTCTATGAGTAATAATACAAAGAAATATTGATTTTAAACAAAAATACTGAATATAATGATAAAATAATTCTTAAGATACGATATTGTTTTGTTGATTCTACTTTTGGTTAATTATTCAAAGAAAATTACTATAAGTTATGTTTTCTCTGTCAATAAAGACTATAAATATAGAACTGGTTATTAAAAACTTATTTATTTCATCACTAATCGACTTTGAACCTATTATTTCATTATACTTTCTTAGTGCTTAACTTGCCCCACCTATGGGGTACATTGAGCATACTTGACTTTTTGCATTTAAACAGCAGTGGCTTTTAAATTTTACTCATTACCAAAAAATAGTATTAACACTTTTGTTAAGCGATAAACAACAAATCCATTAAGCCGTATAGCAATTTATTGAGACTTTTCATTGAGGAGCTACATCCGTTTAAGTAAAAATTTGCTCAATTAGCCCCGCCCTACCCTAATAATAATTAGATAAAATTAGTCAATAAAAGCTTATGAATATTACCATATTTGTTCTTTAGGTTTTGCTGTAGGAGCAATGTTTGTTCGAGAAGTTTTCCATGGAGAATCAAAACCTCAAGCTGAAGAAATGATTAACGAAGTTAGAAATGCTTTTAAGAACAATCTGAAAAACATGAAATGGATGGACAGTGAAACAAAGAAATCAGCTGAGATCAAAGCTGATGCCATATCCGACATGATTGGCTTTCCTGATTATATATTAAACCCACAGCAGCTAGATGAGAAATACAGAGAATTGACAATAGATCCAAAGAAATACTTTGAAAATAATATTAAAGTAACTATTTTTAATATGAAAAAGAATTTGGAAAAACTTGACCAGCCAGTGAATAAAACGAGGTGGGATATGACGCCTTCAACTGTTAACGCGTATTATACACCGACCAAAAACCAGATTGCCTTTCCTGCTGGCATTCTGCAGATGCCTTTTTATGATATCAACAATCCCAAGAGTCTAAATTTCGGAGCTATGGGAGTAGTCATGGGCCATGAACTGACTCACGCCTTCGATGACCAAGGCAGCGAATACGACAAGGACGGTAATCTGCACTCGTGGTGGAACAACAAAACGCTCATTCGCTTCCGAGAAAAGACTGATTGCTTCCAAAAACAATATGGAAATTATACTATCAATGGAAAAAATGTCAATGGAAAACAAACTTTGGGTAATATTTTATTTTATATTGGTATATTTACGCTTCTGATAACCAAACATTTTCGTTTATTTTTCAATATGGTTAGACAAATCATTTTTACAAAATTTTAAACTTGAATGTTGATGCTTTTTGTGCAGTCATAACTCTCTGTTTTTGGTATAAATTTTAGTTTATACATAGTTTACATAGTTTTGTAAATATTTTTAAACACGCAATAATGTAGAGTAGACCATAGGTTCCTATTATTCTGTTCTAGACTTCTTGCAATTTTTTTGATTTGGAATAGTCCCTTTACTTACCATATCTGATACAGATTTTTGGTAAAATTCTCAGAGTGGTATTAAAAACGTATAGAAGAAACACATGTTAAGTTTACACAATTATTAAATGAATTTAAAATAACAAAATAAAATAAACATTAAGTAAATATTTTAGATAGGGAGGATCAATGTGATGCCCTTAACCCTTTTCACTCGCGAATTGCGGAATTTATACGTATTTTCCCGCCGAAGCGGCGGTATCCGAGTTTCAACTCGGGTTAATATTATATTATCAACATATAGTAAAACCCGATTTTTATTTCACGTACCCCGAAATATTGTTTTCGCTAAAGTAGACCTCTTGCAAAAGTTGTGATAGACTCCTGGGAGTCGATATAGACCATATTGAAAATTATTGGTATATACTGTAATACAATATAGGTTGTTTAAAAAATTATAAATGTAGTTAGTATAACTGTAACTGGCCCGATTTACTCCTATAAACCAAATAATAATAGTTTAAATAAATAATTTATTTGGGAACTTAAATTTGATTTTTTATAGATTATGGATCTTAATAAAATTACTATTATTAAATTAACTTTTAGAGTATGATAAATGTGAATACTGTATTTTTCAATTATTTGTAACGTAAAATCAGAAATCAGAAGTAAAAAGTAATCTACAAACAGAAAAGGGAAAATTTAAAAGTGTTACGCACTTACCACAAACCTGTTTTCGGATAAAATACCAAAAATAATAATATCACAATCATATTTATCATCTAGCGAATTTTTATATGTAATACGAGTTAACTGTGGTGCACTCACTGAACTATGCTCACAGTTTTGTATTGTCAGAATTGAACAAAAATGTTGTTTTCGAGGTAAAATACATCTTATAACAATTTATTAACTTCTCATAGGATAGTTATAGTAATGGGCCAAAAATCAAAATAATTTTTTTTGCATATCTTCACGTTTTGAAGATTTCTGAACATGTGTTTGTTTTGTATGTCCGCATTTTTTGTCCACGTTTTCGGGCGCACGGATCAACCGTTTTGAATGGTTCAAAAAACATTCGATTCCTATTGATAGGGACATGTGCTGATTTGGCAAAGGCAGGTCTAGCCGTTACGGAGATACGGAGTAAAAAGTGGAGAAATTTCAAATCGAATTTTTGAGGGAACGGAGTATCCGATTTGAATGATCTTAAAAACATTCAATTTGTAATGATTGGGAGAAGAAGTGATTAGTTTTTGGCAAAAGCAGGTCCAGCCAATTCGAAGATAGAGAGCTAAATGTTGAGAGAATGAAGCGTGTGATTTGAATGATTCAAAAAACTTTCCGGTTGTTTTAACAAAATAATTGCTTTTAGAAATAAAAATTTTTGTTTCATTTTTAAAGTTCTAATATACTTTAAACAAATAATTTCAACTTTGCTATTCAGTTTATATAATTCTTATAAATAAATTATATTATATATTAATTAGACAATGTTACAATTTTTATAATAATCTATTTGAGAACATTTAATATTCCTCGATCATTTCGTCACAGTGCTGAAAGTTTTAGCAATTTGCTTTAAGACACGATGCCATACACCACTAGTTTTTTGTTATTTTTTCAATATTATACAACAATCAAAGTTATTGGCAGAACTCTATAAGTTATAGGGCTAAATTACACAAACAAAAGTAAATAATCACAGAAAGAAATAAAAAAATATGAATAAATAAATAACATAAATAAAAATAAATTACAAATAAAGAAAAATAAGTAAATAATAAATAAAATAAAAAAACAAATTGTAGTAATTGCTCCGATAAGCAATTGACTATGGAAAACATTTTTTTCCATTAAGTCTATAGACACCAAGTTTCTTGTGTAGTCTTCTTATAGGCGGATTATCAAGCAGATGAGCTATTATTGCATTAAGATGATTGTAAATTTTATCATCATGTTTAGTACTGGTTCTGCCGACATGGCCACAAAATATTAAAAATATCTTGAGATTTGAGAATACGTATTGTTTTTTTTTTCTTTTCAAATATTGCGATCTAAATAGCCAATGGTCAAATACACATGACGAGTGTACATAATCGTCAATACACAAAATTCTGCCACTTCTCTTCACTTCTCCGTGACGGGTATGTTCGTCAGTCACAGTTAACTTATTAAATCACGTATGCGATTCGCATTAGGTACCTTCATCTAAATATTTAATATTGGCTTGAATTAGATATGGTTGATAATTTATTATTGTTTATTTTTCAAGGAGAAAACATAGCTGATAATGCCGGATTGAAGGCGGCATATCACGCTTTTCTGGAGACACCGTCATTGCGAGATATGGACCATTTGCCTTTGCCCGGCATCAATCTAACCCACCGCCAATTATTTTTTGTTTCCTTCGCGCAGGTAAATAATAAATGCAGCATCAATAAAATTAATAACTTAAGCGAAATTAAATAATTTAATTCATACAGGTTTGGTGTTCAGCTATAACAAAAGAAGCAACTACGCTGGAGATAGAGAAAGATTCTCATTCGCCGCCAAGGTTTCGTGTGATAGGACCAGTATCAAATCTTAGAGAATTTTCTGAAGAATTTAAATGTAAATCTGGATCGCGCATGAATCCAATAAAAAAATGTGAAGTTTGGTAAACAAAAATTTTAAAAGAACGTATTAAATAAAATCATATTTTATGTTAGATAATAAGTGAATATTTATACCGTCAGTTACTCATCACGTTAGACGTAAATGCTATAACAGAATTCAATACCACATGGTAGATTATAGTAAAGATTATAATAAGTTGTATCATAATTTCTACATGATATATTTTCTGCCAATATTATACGAATATAAAAATTAAACTACATGGTAGGTTATAGTAAGTATTTTAATAATTTTTTATCATAATTTATACATGATATATTTTCTACCAATATTGTAAACAATATTACATCACAATTCGTACTAGTATTATCTCTATGTGCCTCAAAAACAATTTTGTTGATAACGTTTTTGTTGTGATAAATGCGTTTTGACATATGTATATATTTGTATGCATTTATATAAATAATTTTTAATTAACGTAGTAACATCATGTCTTCCTTAAAAGACAAACTAATATTTACTCACAAGATATAAAACAAATTTAAAATGGGATATGCATTCCAAATCCATCATGAATTTGTAGAAAATATATTTTGTTAAATTTGGAGGCAAATCTTATTTCAAAAATAATAATATAAATATTTTTTATTGCTAATAAGATTTCTATTGTTTATTGTTTAAATGTTAATGTTAGAAGATTTTTTTATACTAAGTACAAGTCGACGAATTTTATTAAAATGGGAACATTATTAGTTATAAGAAGTGCGCTAATGAAGTTTCCAAAGATCTATTAGTGATTTTATTAGTAAGTATTTTTTTCGAAAGTATGAGATAAATGAGACTGTCCTACACACATGAAAGTGATAGTTATAAAAATTATGTAATGTGTATATATATACACATATTTATTTATTTATTTATGTTTATATATATTATTTATTTGATTACATATTGTATACAAAATCAGCTTTTAATATATTATAAAAATGTTATGTACTTAAATGTTTTACATAATTATCTCTTCTTACCCTATAAGCCCCTGAAATAAAGCAGTTTTACAATAACTAATTTTTGCTTTTTGTGCCATGTGTAGTATTTTTTTATGGGTATTTATAATTTATATCTTATCATGAAGATATTCAAAAGAAAATAACTATTGATTATTCATACGTCAGTTTTAGCTTTGCAATAGTCCAGGAAATTTTTGCATAACATTAGTATAATTAGTTGTGGAAAATTATTCGTTACCTGTATTAAAAATAACAAAGAGCATTTACAATATAAATTGTTTAACTTGTTCTAAAATAATGAATCGCACTGTTTTTAAAAAAATAAGAACAAAAATATCACTAAATCGTGGTGAAATTTAGATGTTTTTAATTGGAATTCATACATCAGTACCGTAAATCAGTTTTCGGATATTTCCATCCTACGAAAATTGACTTTCATGAAACTTCCTCAAGTTATGAAAAGTTTATCGTCGGTGTCCATATCTGATTTTGTCGAACTTCGGTTTTTCGTTTTATATTTAAGATTTTATAAATATGTTTGTTATATTCCATAATTGTATTTGTCGTATATCGCACTGAAGATGAATAAAATTAAGGCTCGAATTGTATATTAGATTAATTAACAAATTATTGCTTCAATTAACTTTTCGAAAAAATACTTTGTTTCACCAGAAAATTTGCTATTATGATTTCTCGACGTTTCCAAATATTCTGAATCGTTTGACACCAACATTAGAAAAAGTATGGGTGTGTGCATGTGAACCAAAATTTGACCTTTCGTCGACGACCGAGCAATTTCTTCAAAAATTTAATAACCGTTCGAAAGATATCAGTTGGGAATCGTCGTGCTGATTAGTTTTTGCTAAAGATCACCATTTATTCGTAATTAATCGTTGGAAAAAATTTACGTTTTTGGTGAAAACTTTATGATCAATTTATGGTCTTAATAAACATTTTGAAATATTCTGAGCCTATAAAAAGTGGTTTAATTATAAAAATTTATTAAAGGTTGGAATATTGAACGCGTGTTTTATTGCCACAATTTTGAAAGTTTATAACTCTCAATGCCTATTGATTAGGTCAATTATTTACACATATCGGAAAGCCACACATCTTGCCTTAAAGCAAAATGCCATTTACACGTTTTATAATTTGATGTACGCCTGAAATTTTTTATTGCATATTTGTCACTACCCAAAATAATATATGAACACTTACTACATAAACTATTATAACATATATATGAAAAGAAGAAACCAACAAAATTAAATAATAAACTAAAAGTTAAATAATACAATGATGTAGTAAGCCACATTAACAAATTGTAAATCAATCGTTTATCGTTAATCATGTGGCTTACCACATAATTTTATTATTTAACTTCTATTTCATTATTTAGTTTTATTAGTTTGATTTTTCATTAAATAATCTCTTTAAGATTTGTGGGTAGTGTTTTATCCAGATTTGATTTTTTTTAAGTGCTGATGATGACAGACATACAGTGCCAAAACGTACATAATAAATACTTCTTTATTAACTTCCCGTAGGGCAAGTTATAGTAATCGTAAAAAAATCGAAATCGAAAATTTTTATATATCTTTACGTTTCAGAGGTTTCTGAATATTTTGGCATACCGTAGAAAAAATGGATGTATGTGTGTGTGTATGTGTGTGTATGCGTGTATGTATGTATATATGTGCGGATACTAATTTTTGTCGACGATTTCGGGAACACCAATCAACCGATTTGAATAATTCAAAAAACATTCGATTAGTATAGATAAGGAGATGTGTTATGTGTTTCAAAAAAAATTTAATTTTTTGTCAAATTTATAGTTTCTCAAAAATCAAATTTTTTAGAAGTAAATATTTTTAAAAAATGTTAATCGTTTTTAAAAAAATAATAATTTTTGGTACGGGAAGTTCTAGCAATTTGCCTTAAGGCACGATGCCATGCGCCCACTAGTTTATTAGTTATACTTATTATGAGTTAAAGTAATCGCAAAAAAGTTGAAAATGACCGACTATTTCGCGAACACGGGTCAACAAATTTGAATAATTCAAAAAACATTCGTTTCCTACTGGTAAGAAGACGTGCTGATTAGTTTTTGGCAAAGGCAGATCCAGCCGTTTCGGAGATACGGGGCTAAATTGTATTTCAGTTTTTGAGATATCGGAGCGTCCGATTTGAATAATTCAAAAAACATTTTACTTGTATTGACGAAATTATCAACTAGTGAAATTGTTGTAAAGGCAGGTGCAGTGTCTCCGGTCCAATAAGATCCAATAAAAAATTAAAAAATAATGCCATTTGGCGGTCAAAAATGATCATTTAGACATATGTAAATTGTATTATCAGATATATTATAAAGATTATAATAATAAGTAAAAATTTGTGTACACTTATGAGTTCAGGTTACACGTTTACACGTTAGACGACTACGCGGCGCTTACGCGCTTTGATATTTCGACTCCAAATCAGCTCTGTAGCGCGATTGCTGTAAAAAAAAATCCAAATTTTCAAAAAAAATCAAAATACAAAAAAATCAAAATATAAGAAAAATCAAAATTTTCCGAAGTTGAATTTTTACAAAAATTTCAAAATTTCCCAAAAATCTAATTTTTTCAAACTTTTGAAAAAAATTCAAATTTTTTTTTTTAATTTAGTTTTTGGAATAGTAAGTTCCAGCAATTTACCTTAAAGCACGATGCCATGCCCACTAGTTGCTTTTTATTTCGAATATTTGGCTGCAAATAAATATTTCAGGATGTGTATATAATTCTAACTCGGATAATAAATAAAAACATAAACGTATATTGCATATAAATATTGTTAATCATTTAGCTAAGTAATGAATGCTTGAGAAACTTTATTATATTTCTGTCAGCAGTCGAAATACTATAAATAAACACACATAAATATATATATTTACATATAATATTTTTCCTATAATTTGTTATTAAAAATAACATAATTTTGATAAGTAATATTCGAAAATGACAACTTTCATTGAAAATAGTTGTGAACGGTGCGTACAGTGATAAGCCCTCTGTATATAATCGTGTGCGATGCAACAGTTGGTAGGCATTACAGCTGAAAGTTGAGTTCAAGTGATTTGGTATGAGTTGTATTCTTGTATTATGTGGACGTCTATTCTGTACTTGTTTTAAATGTCGGTAAATTTTAAGTTAAAACCATTTTGATTATGCTGCAACCGAGTAAAAACAAATACCACAATGGTTTTCGGCTTTTATTATGCTATCTGGTCACTAATCCACATAGTATACTCCTTTATAAAGATATTAATTTTCTTCTGGGAGTTTGTCAAAGTGAAGTGTTATGATCTTTCCTATCACGAGGATTCTATTACAAATGAAGTAGAATATATAAGTAGCAGTATAAAAGTTCTCACGAAAATTCCAAAGCATGTAGTACTGATATTAGGAACAGAAAGGCCTTCTTATGGCGATTTGTCAAAATTAATCATGTGGTGTATAGCCGCCGGGATTTCTTTCGTCAGTTTTTATGATCATAATGGTGAGAAAACTAACCTATTAACTTCATATATTGTGTAAATAATTAATGTTGTCATATACTTCTGAATGATGTAATCTCATGTAATCTGTCAAATTTCAGGTGTACTGAAGAAAAATGAATTTGAACTGCATAAAGCAATATCAAAAAAACGTAAAGACATAGAGGGCCGTATAGTTTGGGGAAGAAAAGTTAAATCTGACCATATTTACAAAAATGGATATCAAAATGACTGTATTGATCCTGTTACAGTAAATTTATTATCCTTGGGTGATGGCCGCGGTAGCTTAGTAGCCCTTACAAGACAATTAGGAGTTTTAGCGCAGTCTGGAAAACTAACATCATCACAAGTAACAATTGATTTAGTTAATAAACATTTTAGTGACACGCCTGATCCTGAATTAGCCATTTATTGTGGCGATGTGTGCGCTACTTATGGGCTTTCTCCGTGGCAGATCAGAGTCACAGAGTTCCACCAATTATCCTCGCACCATAATATTAAATTAAATCAATTTATGAATATTTTACATGCATATAGTAAATGTGAGCAAAGATTCGGCAGGTAGATCTTTGCAACATGTAAATAAAAATGTCAAAAGCAGTTTCGATTGTAATAGATATATGTACATATGTATAGGCACCTTAAGTTAATAGCAAATGAATAACTTATTTTTATTAGCATTTTTTTTAGTAATTCATACAAATATTTATTTGAATATGATAAATCTTTTGAATATATTGTGGTGAATGAAATAGAATGATATATTTTAATAGATATTAAGTAGATTTTAAGTCTTGAATATAAATATCTGTTACGACTTTAGGAAAGTTAAATTTGATATTAAACTTTCATATAAAAATGCAGTGCTGTAAAAATGTTGATATAGAAGATTGGTGTTGGATTTGTAATTCTCTGTAAAAATAGAATTATATTTAATGTAAAATGCAATCAGTAGTTTTGTAAAAATATGATGCAAGAAATATTTTTACCGATTATATACAATAAATTTTGTTTTGAATCGCATCTATATTTCAAAGATGTAGAAAGTGAAGACAAAATAAATTGTATGCTAACCAAAACTTTTAATCTGTAATATTTATTTGTCTTCTTTTATTATATGAAATAAAAAAAATACATAAATAAAACTTATATGCAGAAAGTGTATTTACTGACCGTTTTTCAAATTTGCCGCCAGAATCAACCGGCTCATATTCAAAATACAATTTCAATTGTTTTATTTAATTATTAAAAAAACAATACGGCATATAATATAATCGAAGGCGATGACTTAATGTGATTTTCAATTCTTGACACCTAGTCAATTTGGTAAAAGTAAGTAAATAATTGTTGATTTATCCATATGTATATCGATTGGCGGTGCCATACGTCATAGAATGTTCATGGTTCACAGAACGAAGTGCACGGAGCGCACCGCACCCTTCTCTACCATCGTTAGTTTATATCGGTGACAGAAATTCGACCAATCGCAGAAGGCCCGTATATCCCCCCCATATGATGTGTATCTGGCACCGAGAAAAGAACGACACAGCAGGGAGACCACAAACTGTTCGACGTCGAGCTGCCATTATTGTAAAAAGATAAAGTTAAGTTCTGAAAAGTACATTAATAAGAATTTTGTGTCAGTGCCCAGTAGTGAATAAATAGATCAAAGATATGTGTTATTGATTATTAATGTGATATTTCTTATGAAAGTTGTGTGATTGTGCGGGAAGACAGGCAGGCGACGGGTGGCCGGGCGAATCGGACTGGCACCAATTTGTAGCTAACGTTTTTGTGTTCAGCAGGTAAATAATCTATTCTACTAATTGTATATATTGCAACTGCTTTGTATTTTAATTTTTGTACCGTTTCCACGAATGAAACAAAAGTTATTTCAAAATCTTCGTACGTTTTCGTACAACATGGCGGACGTTTATCCTTGCTGCTGTCAAAAAATTTTTTTTCGCTCCTGTTCGGCCTGTGTGCGGGTACAGGGTGGATCGTGAAAGTGTTAAAATATTGTTGACCGGTTAAAGAAAATATGACAGTTGTCGGGTTGCATAATTGATTGTACACATGTAAGGCAGTAGTGTTGACATTTGATTAATATTCCCGTGATCGCGAGGCAAGTGCGAAATGGTTGTTCAATGATCGTCATATCCGATAGTTTTGTTTTGTGCAAATTCAGTGGTCAGGTGTTCGTGGGCCGGGTCATTGATAATTTGCAATCATCACATATGACATGTTACCGATGTAACGGCGGTGTAAGCAGTCTCGTGGTACGGATCAGGGCTGGGGTGTGCCTCTCGATAGTAGCATATTTGCCGGCATCAGCGTGTTCTGCATAGGCGTCGCCCGACTAAAACCAAACTAGGCAGTTCGAATGTTTTTCCTTATTTAAATCTCAAGATCGATTTCAATCAACATTATTTCGATAGCTCGTCAAATCAAAGTAGGCGAGGTCTTGTTTGTTCACTTAAAGGATTTTCCATCCGCAGGTTATGTTTGCAACATATTAAATGCTTGATATTTATATATAGGGGAGACTGGGTACGGTTGTGCCACTTTTTTTAATCAGCCAAAATTTTGTTAATTTACCTGTAATTTAAACATTTGTCTATGTGGAAATACTGAAATACTGTCCTTAAATACGATGGATTAGTTAAAAAATCAAATTATACAAGAAAAGGGCGAGTGTCACAACCGTCCACGCGTTCAGGGACGGTTGTGACAGGCATATAAATAGGTTATCAACAATAGCTATAAACACCAAAATGGTTTATAACGACTTTTACAGTCGTTAATAACAATAATATGTAAAACAATATACCATAAACATTTAAACAAACCTTATGAATAAAATATAACAATATGCAACAAAACATAATTTTTTAAATAAAGTTATCAAGAATTTTTTGTGAAATCTTTTTCTCTTTTTCTTTTTCTTTCTCTTTCGTATTCTGTCTTAGTTTACTTAAATTTTTTTTATTTGTTTAATCTTCATCCGAAAAGGACAAGAAATAACAATCGTGCCACAAAATTTGTCACAACAATCCCAACACATACTTTTGAAAACAAATCATTGTGCCTGAGCTAAAATTATCTAGACAAAAAAATAATTGCTGGTAAATAATTTCAACTGGACCCTTTCTCTAAATTCGCTGTTATGACGACTGTCACTACCGTACCCTTGGCACAACCGTACCTAGTTTCTCCTACCTTATAATTTGCTCACTTCTTGTATATTTTTCATCACACTATATATTTCTTTCGGTAATCAATATTGACAGCATTTTAGTGACAAATAGTAATACAAAAAACAAAGTCTGGTAAAAAATTGTTTATGGTATCTAATTACTGGTCCAATTGACACCCTTGGACACCATCTGCAACAAGCTTCCTCAATCCAGTTACAGCTATAATTAATCACAAGCCATTCGTGCATATGTATACTGACACAGATTATAATTGTTGAGAAATTTTAAATTGAATATTATTCATATATTCCAACACTACTAAATTAATTAGTGTTTTCAATCTCAAGTTCAAGCACCTAACAATAATCTAACATATAAATAATCGTACAATATACGCATAGTTTAGTTGTTGCTATTTTAATGACCTCAAAAGCACAACACTTTAAAATAATACATTTTTATTAAATTAAACAGTAATTACAATAAAACATTAGTGTAGGTTGAAAATTATAATTTGTGTGTTTTTACATATTAACATTTAATATTGCTAATATGCATGATGGTTTCATTTGCGCAATACTATTATGTATTTTGCATTTTAAGGGGATGTTCTAGTGTAGGGCATGAATTTTTATATCATCGTAAAGAGGCAATAAATTTCTATACTAACATCTTTTTTATAATTTCTTTATCAACGTTCCAAGAGTACAGGAAAAATTAAAACCAAAATTTTTAATATTTTTAAAAAATTGCAGTGGGTGAAGTGGATGGTCTCTAAAAGTTGACAATGCATATTTACATGCAACCTTCCTAGTAATCCGAATTTTAAAAAAATGTTAATCTAGAATGATGTCACAACGGTATATACTAGGATTAAGTTAAAAAATACATTTTTGACAAAATGATCAATGTTTGAAAAAAAAAATTACCACTTTTTTGAGTTTCTAGATTTTTTTTAAATAGTAAAAATCATAATTTGGTGATGAGGCTAGTATATGCCTGAAAGATGTCTATAAAGAAAAATCTTCGAAAATTTCAAGTAAATTGGTCCAATAGAACTAGAGAAATCGTAGGCAATTGTATTGAAAAAAAAAAAAAAGTTTTGAGAAAAACGCGTTTAATGTTTTGCAAAAGGAAGGAAACAAACAAAAATAGCTGTATCTTTGAAAATGTGTATTTTTTTAACTCCTCTCGAACACCTATTCCTAAATAGGTAAATACAAAAAATGTGAAAAAAAGAAGAAAAATTTGAATTTTTTGAATTTCTACTTTAGAATACCCCTTTAATGTATTTAATTGTATTTAACTTGTCAGAGCTTAGTCAGAAAACTTAAGTCGATTCGTTTTTTATGATTTAAATTGGATCATTTTTCTAAAGAGTTTCCATTACGTATTCGAACACACTCTCTATTCCAAGCCGCTTATTTTTAACTATGTTCATATATACACGATCTTCCAATGTTTGGATTAGAGAATATTTTAGCCATGCCCGAGACCGATATAAATTAAATCTCAGTTTGACCAAAACTTAATAGGTCGATGATGCCAGTAATTTCCCTGTCGTCGTTAAAGGCAATTAGCTGTAATTGGATGGGAGGTCATAGGGCTTGTAAACTGGTGTTTTATTTTCATGACAGTTATCTTTTAATAGTTTTTTATGTAATACTACACCAAAATGTATATTTTATTATCTTTTACTAGGAAGCAAACGAATATACATTAAGATCAAGTCTTCAACGTTCAAATTTGAAACATAGTTTCGTGTAAAATTGTTTGAATTTATTCGCCAAATCCAATAAGATTTTGGAGCATCCAATCCAAATCCAATAAGATGATCATATTTCATTCATAATCTCAGGAGCATTGAAATTTCATTTTTATAAAGATACATTGTTCATTTAAAGGTATAATTTTATGCATATATATTTTGTTTGTAATATACAGGTGACCTCAGTACAACACGGTAGTTACGTTCCAGAAAACTAACGTGTTATGCGAATCCGTGTTATAAGGGACAAAGAACTAATACAAAAAGAGGGGTTACGTTCCAAGAATTCAAAAAACATGCTACATATCATGATTTTATAATAAATATTGTTACATTTATTCATTTTTTTTAAGAAGTAATATACATTACTTGAATTATATGAATTTTTTCGTCATAATTAACAAGTAAGTGCTATCCAACATAATCTTTTTTTGCAAGATATCCTCATCCTTTGAGCAGTTTTCTTTCTACACATACATCCAGTCCGTGCATTATTTTTTGCCAAAAAATTATATTTGCGATTGCAAAATATACTTGCTTTTAGCAAATGATATTTATATATTTAACACATGCAAAGTAATCTTATTAAACTTTTATACTTATTTTATTTAAAGAATTGTTTAAGAATTAAAATATATTATGCGGATGATCCTAGAATTTTTTTCGATAGAACGTACGCGCTCTAATAATATATATCAAATTACAGTAAATCCGCTTAGTATGACATTCAAGGGACGGCGAAAAATCGTCATATTAAGCGGTCGTCATACTAAGCGTACTGAAAAAAAAAAACAATTTTTGGCGAATATGTTATTAATTCATTCAGTAATTTAATACAAAAATTAAGGTAAAAAATGACACATACTAACAAATTGACAAATTTAATTAAAAATATGACATAACAATGCATTTTTAATGTAAAAAATCTGTAATTTTTGTTTGAGTTTTAATTACTGGGTACAAATAGTAAAAAAATAGAACTTTACTAATTCAGTAAATTATAGCAGATGTTATCGCTTTCCAAATTTTGAACACCAAGAATGAGCCTACTTATTTTTTGCACGAGGTCGTCCATGCCGGAAGTTGCCAAAGTTTCCATAGCGCGAATCTCGTGCAACATAGAGACCTGTGGTATGTGGGTAGGTATGTAGCGACCTGACACACAAGGGTAGTTCACAGTGGTGCCATACCATAACAATGTGCAATGAAAAACATGAACTCTATGTTATCGGAGGTGTAAAATCATGTCGGTCATTATACTTGGACCAAATTTTTTTCAAAAATGGGTCATTATAAGCGAAATGTCAATGTAAGCGAGGTCAACATATCCGACTAGACAGCTGTTTTTTTTAAGAAATTTATATGGAAACCAAACTGCCTTTAAAATTACGTCATAATAAGCGGTTGTCAATATCCGATCCGCGTCATACTAATCGGATTCTACTTAGTTATCTTTTGCACTAGTTTCATCACACATTTATTGAGCTATTGTTTGGCGATTGTACTCATTTTAGATTAAATAGTTTGCTTTTTCATATGTTTTTACTAAATTTCTTATTTTATTAAAACTTTCCTCAATTCTTAAACCGTGTTATGCGAACCCGAAAGTACCGTGTTATGAGGGGATGGTCTCAATTCTTAAACCGTGTTAGAGCGAATCCGTGTTATAAAAGTACCGTGTTATGCGCGGTTTACCTGTATTTTGTTGGTAAAATCATAATTTTTCAATTCAAATGTCTACAATCAAGCTTATAATCTTTACTTGGTGGGAATCTGATTAGATCCCAATGTTTATTATCTCTTTGGTTAAACTTGATATTTCATATATGCTTGAATTGCT